AGCGCAACGGGCCGCTTGCGGAAGCATTCAGATCGTCGCAGACAGTCTACGAGGATGAGCAGATTTATTATGACAAGAAATTTGCCACTAATCCACTCAAGGCATCACAACAATTGCAAGTGTCAACTACGATAGATACCATTCTACATTATTTTCTTCTTGAGAAATGATACACCGGACATCTTTACTTTGAATTATGTCGTAGGCTATGGATGGCCCCCATACAGTGGGGCAAGGTGCTTAAACTATGGTGCAAGACTCAGACCACGTTGCTTCTTCCGTAAACTACACAAAATAACGTAGAACACTCATGGACGTTTCGAATCTGGTGAAGTCCTGCCTTTGTTCTGTTTCCTTCTGAGAAAACGACAATCCAAAACCAGTGATAGGTGGGGACCATGTCATACATTATTAACACAAAACACGTTGTTGAGATCCAGTCCGATAAACCTAATGATTTACGTGTGAGTGTGTGAATTACAATTCTACACATCTCTTTCCAGTTTCCGTAAGGCCTTCGCAACTGGATTCCTGACTAGCCAGACGAATCTGGCCGTGATTGAGTGGTGCTGAGTATTTCTTTACCATTTTGGAGTTCAGAGGTTCAAATCCCGTTAAAGTCTGTCACCTTGGTGATAGACAGTAATCTACTCTCTCCCGGTTCGTTACCATGCTTGCCGTATTGAGACACCACGTGGTTCTCCATCACTCCAAATCTCAGGGTCATCGTGGTTGTTTATTCTAACTGGGATAGTAGGCCTTTGAGGATATGGGGTGCATCCCTTCAACTGTACGCATGCGCAAGCATACATTAAAAATAGCACTGCTTCCATCAGTATACCCTCGTGATTTGAGTTTTGATGAACTTCGTCGCATCTCCTACAACTTAAATTGGACTGATTAATGATCCAGTCAGCTAGCTACCTGAATCATTGTGAGATTACTACGCTTTCCAACCATCGAAGAGTTAGAGTTTTCACTCCCCATATTCTTTTTTTGTCACAATAAAATGTGCGTTTGTAGTAGCACTTACCCAGTAAATCTACCTCGTCGGTGGCTCATTTACAATATCCTGAAATGATTCACCATGCAGTATGGCCGTTCCACTTCCCGTTTTAAACTATGGAACCACTGCAAAGCTGTTTCTTCTCATTTATTAGGCATCATCAGAGCTAATCCACTGAGTTGTAACTGGAGTTCAGTAATGGTATAGCTATCTGGAATGATTCTGTACGGCCTGTTCTATGTCAGTAATGCATAGGATAGTTCCCATCCGTCACTGATTACGAACGTTAGAAACTCATCACTCATACATCAATCTATTCATAAGATGGATGTCTTCATATAAAAAACTGAAGTGCAGCAAGGGCATTACAAGCTACTTGCGTAGCCCGACAATCATCAGTATCCGTACGAATAAACGTCTCCGAAGTTCAATGATTTAGCTCAGATGCACCAAAAGGATTACGTCAGATTATTGTGTTGTTAGCAATTTAGTCTAATCCTTTTTCGTCGCACACGAAGACATTCATGCATCTCGAATTTAGCAATATTCCGATAACAATGATCTCCGCAACATCGATTCTTAGCGACCCATCCCTGTTAACCGGCATACTCTTCTGCTCATTTCAACTCATTTGATCGCTCACCCCGGGCCTTGAATGCTTTCATAATTACGTCTTACCGTGGTAGTTAAAGAGAAATCCCAAATAAATGGTGGTCCAATGAGTACTACAGTGACCCCGATAGTTCGGAGAAAATGAACATTTTCTTGATGTCATTTTGGATTTCCTGTGTCTAAAATGCTCTGATGATCGATTTCGATTTGGCTGTTTTTTCGGTTGCATATGCTTTACTGAACCGACCTTCACGAAGTCTACATCGAATTCGATTTCACACACTTGAGGTTATCACCGTCTGTACACGAATGACTTGTTTTCGCTTCGCAGTTGCGTTCAGTTTACCTCTCATTGGTACTGTTTCAGTGCCACGACAAATACAATATACGTTCACATCTATCTGGCAACTCCAGTCTTCTCCGTTTGTTCTACCGAGGGGATTTTGTTGGTTGTTTGCATTGAAACTCAATAGAAAACACGTTCGGGGATTGCATACCGTTCGTCTGCTACAGTACTAGAAAGAATTCAGCGATGCATGCAGTGTGCTCGGAACAACGGAGAGTTCAGCGCCCGCATCTTGTGTAAGATCTCCGCTATAACTTGCCTTTTGAACTACTCTAATAACCACTGATACCAAAACTGGTTTTTCATATAATCGATGCACAAACAAAGGTCAACAAACAATTCCTATGTAAATGCCTCGTCTTTCTAATCAAAATCGTTCTGTTTGGCATTCACGCCTCAGCCGAATTGACGAATCGGATCTGACACATTCTTGGGGGACGTTCGGTGCATCGGGAGACTATTCTTCGCGCATTATTCTAGCCCAACTATTGTCCGAAATCCTCGACTGTTTTCCAGATCGATTTTTTATCGACCACACATGTGAATGGAGCGGATTTTCTGATTCGTAGCCTGTTGAAATGCTATAGCCTAGCTTTAGGTAATTACACTAACTAAAGTGTTGCACGTTCGACGCAAAGTACCGCCACACATGAACTTTAACTTCACTCTGTGACGTGCTTCACCCTCGTTTATCGTGACGCATACGTCACCACCTTCCTCCGAAAAAGTGCATTCCCACTCCAGTTTTCGTCTTCTATCTGCTCGCACGATGTTGTGCAGTAACATCACTGCATGTTCATTGAAAACGCGATTACACGAGGTTACGGTAAGCGAATCGATTTAAACGGACGACAAGTACGTTCCTTAATCCAAACTCGAGCATTACGTCGGTGTTAGGGCACTGTCAAGAAAGATGGCCGTTGAAGTGCAACACAAGGTCTTGATAAGCCAGAAAACTAGAAAACGCACCTTGAAAGGGCCAACAGCGAAAACCCGATACGATCGCTTCCTTGAAATTCATTTTCGCCTTATCCAACTGTTTCTCTTTCTATTTATGATCATCTATAACAAATGTATGCACGTTAACACTCATCTCCGATAACAGACTTCCCAACTCTCTGGTTGGTTCACACTTTACGCGTCTAAGATTCAGCAATTGAAGATTACAGAACAACTGTTCTCGGTCAAAAAAGACGATAGCAGAGCAAAATTGGGACCTCAATAGCCACCGCAGGTGGACTTCCAACCCACTTGACAAAGAAACTGACAGGCGATGGAATTCTATCCTGACATCAAATCCACCCATCTTTATTAACCAGAATCGCCACAACCCTTGACAGTAAGTGGTGATTATCTGCCCTCTGACGTGCACTTATAATACAAACGATCTACTAACAGGGCTCACCACGAGTCAGCCATTCAATCAGCTTATTAAAGGCAGGAAATTGGTTAGTGACAGCTAACGACGCTAATCGAGACAAGTACGCTTAAGGTATATTCGTCTTTACCTGTCCAATGAACGTATTTATGAAGTCCGGAGAATGAGCCCGTCGGTAATGCATGTTTATCGGAGTGCTTTCACCGTTTTAGTCAGGGCAACATAACAATTGAACAGTAGCCCGAGAGCACGCAGAGGAATTGCAATAACCATTGTGCTTAGAAGAGTAATCCGACCTATACGACTAGAAAAACCGCACCACGAAACTGGAAAACGATTATGGGTTTCTCATCGGCCTATGAGAGGTACAAGCCAACACTGGGGAACACCTACGGACCGGCGTGAGAGCTTTCAGTTACGAAAGGCAGGACTGAAACTGATCTCCTTTTGGTTCTAGAATGTTCGGTATTGACCGAAATCCCTTATTCAGATCACGGACAAGTGCTGAAAAAAAAGTCGATAGCTTTTTTTAACATACCGTTAGTTTTCGGCCGAAATAAGCTGACTGGAATAAGTCTCCATCACGTCTGAGCCACGCAGTTCACAGCAGCCACCGACCATGTTGGTGGTACACCGAAACCCGCTGTTGTGTGGCTTGTCAGCAAGCCCATCCTATTAGGGCATTACGTGGATCGTTAACACAATTCTCAGGGTCACCACTCGCGGTTATCTTTCTTCACGAGGCCGTTGCTGTCGTCCGCGAGCACAGACATTTTCTTTCTAGGCCCCCTGGTTATGACCTATGCACAAAATATATCCGTGAAATTCATTGACCCGAACATGACCATTCCGACAACAACCTCGGCAGAACAGTCCTTATGCATATCATATACGACAGAGTGAGCATAAAGTCAAACTTGTTTGCCGTTCAATGACGTTCCCAATGCATGAACCCATGGTAGTCAGAACCAAATTATCAATTCATTCTGAAATCACCATCTGTTAGACTAAAATCAAACCGATACTTGAAGAAGGAGAACCTATGGTTTCTCACCATGGGGATGTGTTGCTGTGATTCAGTGATTTTCCCAGTGCGACAGTTCCGTAGCAACAACACGTTAAAATTCTGAGTCACATCTGGTCAATTATGAAATCCTTCTTTACGATACCGACCATACATGAACAAAAGCCATTTGGTTGTAAATTAAGTTCAATACAAAAGCGAAAGCAAAGATGTCGATCAATCTAACTGCACAGACCAGTAATCGGTTGGATAGGAATGAGAAAAGCAACGGGAAATGGATCACGATCATTCTGGAAGGATATTTAACGACACACAACAGAGCGGAGGTTGAGGTGAATTTGACAAAATAATTGGCAGATTTTGACGAAATACATTTCAAGTAGGCAATAGTGTTTATCTCACAAGTTGGTGCCGCGCGTGTCGTGGTCTTAAGCGGCTCTCACAAGCAACGCCGTTACAGTCACACAAGCACATAGTAGCGATAATAGAAAAAAACCGTTGGCTTGGAACAAATAAACGGCGACGACGACACAATGGTTAGGAAGTTCTGGTCGTGGTTGGTGGTGATAATGACGAGCAAAAATATACATACCAATCTGACAATAGTGTTCGTATCCGTCGAAGCGCAGACGCATCAGAACGTATCGGTTATATGTCGTCGACCGCCAAATGTGATTCCTGAAGCGTTAGCCCCGGCTGTACTGCCCATTTGTAGACCGATAACTCGATCGCCAGATCTGAGTTTTTCCTCAGAAAAATTGCGACGGTTTTCACGATGTTTCTGCATCCAGTATCCTTCAGGCACATTGCATTCAGGTTTTGCTTGTGCTTCCACTCCAACGTGTGTCAGACAGACAACAACTTGAGTGAGGTTTGTGTTTTCATACAACTGATCTGTCTGGAACTGAAACACGGAATCCACACCAAAAGATGTGGTAAATCGCAGGAACAATCCTATCCGATCACGGCAACGATTTGTCTCAAAAATCGGTTTGTCAGATATTTGCCATGTTTGTATTTTTTGCATTTGAGCTACACTTTTGGGATCCAAACAAGCTATAATAAAGCCTAGCACGAGACCGTCGCGTAGCAATTTGGAGAACTCATCCATGCTAGCTTGTTCGATGTGAGGTGGAATTTTTTGCATCGCTTCGATGAAGTGCTGGGGACAATCGTTGGGTGGTGTGAGAAGACAAATCCAACGGAGCACTTTGGCAGCTTCCTCCTCATCGAACTTTTCGGTCAGCTTTTGTTGCACTTCCCGAGCAAGACCAGATTTGTCAGCTCGAAGTGCGGCAGCCATTGTGAGACGAGATCCTCCGCAGAGCTAGACCCTTAAAGTCGGGTAATGGTTGACTGGGCTTTTATTCTGGTTGTATGTCCTCTCACGCATCAATAGCACGTGTCACTTGTGATACACGCACACTCTCTCATGGCCGTGAGTGTGTTAAGGTCTTTATCAAGGTCGAATTTTGATTGGTCATTCATGCCACGATCTGTCTGCCACACAATTGTGCCTACAGATGGCCGTGTGAGACGAATTGGCTGAGTACCCGTGGGTACCCGTGGGGCGTGCGGCATGTAGATGTGCCGCACATGTCCACTTATCCGATCTGACCCTCTACGTGGTGGAGCTGTCTGCACTGACTCATACCAGGACCGCTTCAGTGTCTTCACGTTTGTAATGATATCAACGGAAAAATAGCAAACGCCATGATCGCAAGTGTCACGTGTCTATGGTTCAAACGAACTGGTTGGATTAACTAAATGACGCGTTTGAGTAATTACACATCAAAAATAACTAAATAATGAGGTTAGTGTTTGATGCCAGTCCGTAATCTACTGTCACTCGGCTTGTTGCCAAATTCGATCCAGTTGCAGTCTTCGCGGCTACCTATTCTGGCCTTGCTACTGAAATTATAGGATCTGGTCCTTATATCTTAACTCAGAGTAGTCATATAAAATGGAAACCTTTTCTGGACCGAACAACTTCCCCGGAAATCACATCAAACCTAATTCGTTGATTCACTTACTGTGTATTCACTGAATATTTTTCGCCACAACTACGGCGTTCACACACTTCTCTTTTATCCTGCATCCAAGCTGTTTCCGATCATCAGTTTGAAGAACTTCGGTTGTGTATGTGTGTGGTGTATTGATAGGCAGATAGGTGTATGGACTCGACTCAGGAGTAATCACTTACCGGGGTTGGTTTGTCAGTAATTGGAATTAGTTAGTCATTAACTGGGGCACTTAACACGGGTGGATTTACCATTGATTCGTGTCGGGTGTCGTCCCTCTACAGTTATCTTGACTCAAACCGTTCATCCACCCCGAAAGTGACCAAATTTTTCTGCCAGCAAAATACTTCGGTTTCGTTATTTTTGTAATGTGTTGATCGAGAATTGCCAGCTTCCCAATAAGAACCTTAAAAGTGTTATACACCTCAAGAAAAGCTTGAAAGAATGACCTATTCTTCTCGTCTCCCTCGAAGGCTAATGAGGCATGGATTCTCCGGAAGGTACGGATAGCCACCCAAGAATGAACCAATAAATAGTTACTGGAAGAAACTGAAGACGAATTCATCAAAAATCAGTAGGATGGGACAGCATCGAACTTGAGATCATCCGGAATATTGTTATCAGCGTGCCTGTAGGTTGTGTTTCAGTGATTAACGATCAAGAAGATAGTGTTTCGTAACTAAGTGGTTGTTTTTGCTGTTCTTTCAGAGGAGGGGTTTAGTAATTCTTTGCACCCTCTGAGACACATCTTCCGGCATAAATCGACTTTCCAAATAATGCGAAATCCACTTGCACATTTTCACACCCGAAAGTCCAAAGACACAGGTCGGAATCAAACCGGTGGCCTCCCGGTCGCCAGGCAGATTCTCAAACAACTGAGCTATCACTGTAAGGCCAATCGAGTGCGACTAACGTAAGTGATTATTCATTGACGTGCAAACCACCATTCCGAAGATACACAGCAACTGTTTTGGATTCATTCACTGAATTAGCCTCCTTAGTCACTTACCAAGGGGGCGAACAGTACACGGCTGAAATCCGTCCATTGGACGTTCTGATAAACTTATTGTTGGGTTTATTAGCATATCATGCGTTATGTTAAACTAGTGCAATAACTTGCAGATTAAACATGTTCTGAGCAACTCACGTGACAGAAACTGGATTATTCACGAAATCAGTGCTCGCCGGACATCGAGCGACCAATACGAGGATCGATGAGTAATCAAAATATACAAATGAGATAATATAATCCCAATATAGATCACACTCTTTCTGTTTCAACTAACGAAGCCAGTGTCAGCTTGAAAAGACTTCTGATTGACCTCAGCCTTCAGCAGCTTTGGTATTTGTGTCGCCGCAGTAGTTCTTCAACAGTCTCTTCTTCACTTTAGAGAATCATTCCTTTCATCACTATTGATTTGAGAGAATCTGTACTGTTCACAACAATCGAAAGGAGAACGTATCGGAATTGCTCCAACCCAAAACTACACAAACCGAAACAGTAAAAAGACCAGAGCTGCTGAACAATACGTTAATTTTATTTCAGAATTGATTTGTATAATCACGTTATATCTGCGGAACTGATTGGTAGATCACAAGTCTACCAATCAAAATGGACTTTTCTTGTGCACGTCCACGGTCACTGTGATTGGCTGGAGTTCCTCAGCGTATGTTGCCACTAAGTCGTATCGTTTCGTGTCCCGAGAAATGCCTGTTGAATAGCTACAGACAGAAATATATCGATGCTCCAGGCTATTGCCATTGACGAGCACAGAACCATCAAACAGTACTCACGAAATCGGTTGACATTTTGAAAGCCTGGGTAGCCATTTGTCAGTTTACTCAACAGATGAAAAACCCTAAAGATATAGCGGCAGTAAAACCAAAAACAAAATTTGATATGAAAACGCAAACACAAGGCCCTTTTCCTCAGCCGACCTTAGATACCAGAGGAGAACGGTACAGACATGTCAAACTTAGCCCTGAAGATGGAAATCAGAGTGAGATGAGAAAGTTTTAAAGCAAGATGCACCTCTAGTGGTGGTATGTTCCCAGAATGCCATACCATAGTTGGATGCGCACGCTGTGGTCTCCCTTACTCAGTCTGCAATCAGAAAAGTGTACATTACCCAGTCATTTAGATTAAATAATGCCACAAAAGTAAGTACTTGAATCTGTTTCTTCTATCAAAATCCATGTGACTGTATTTTCGAACTATTTTATCACGTGGAACTGAAGAAAAGGAAAAAAGAGGAAGCTGATAAAGAAGAGAAGATTCCCGGGTGAATGGTACTGCGGAGTTGCACTCTGGACAGAAAGGTCTTTTATTTCGAAACTGAAACCGGTGCTACTGATTCATAATTCTTAATGGAAAGATAACCATGATCTACGGTTCGTTTTGGGGGAACCTCGAAGAGAAACCTCGAATCATTTATCTGACCGACAGGATAGTAAGTGGGACACAATTAGAAAGCAGGAAGGTGTCCCAAACACTCGTGGAGGCTGTAATTCTGGCCCGTTCTGCCATCTGCTCTGTGTTAACTGCTGCAACTAGCGCATGGGGTTCTTTTTCCGCTAATTCCAGTGGAGCCAGTGAAATATGGACAGTACAGCGTCCACTGAAATGAACCAAACCGTCCAGTCGTGGCGAGTGACAACTGGACGAAAAGTTACGACGGCTCCTGCCACCGTCGAGATAAATCCAGCAGGTGTTTTATAGGGTGTGCTACGGAATCTCGTTCAGTTGTTGAGTAACTCGCAGGGAACGGGTAATCCGTTTAGTCCAAAAGACGAACTATCCAAAGTCCCTATGTACTATAGGAGCGAATCCCAATAACGTGCAGTCACATATCTCATTTATGAATGATCGTGCAACAACAAACGGCAGTAGACCAATCAAAAAGCTTTCACAAGGCACGACTAATAGGGGAGCGGAC